ACTGTGAATTCTGGATAAAAAACATTTTACCCAGTTGTTCTTTCCTACATTTGCTTTTTTCCTCAACAAAGTCCTTTTAGTGATTACAGATCTCTTTGAAGAGCCTCTTCAATTTTCCAGGGCTTGAGGCAATAAGTACAATGCCATCCACTGACAGGAACACCAGGAGGACATCCCAAAGTACAGGGCATCCCTTCAACTTGGACTGTGCACTACATCTCCATCACAATGGCCAAAACCTTTGTGAGCATCAGTATATCTCCTAGCTTTTTTCCTCCCCCAGTATTTGGGATCAGATCATTAACCAAGGTTATTTGGTTATTTCTCTTATTAGACCTTTCAAGGAATCTTGGGTGATTTTAATGTACAGATGAGAGATCCTTTGCTCTAAAGGGGGCTAACAAGGCTCATTTTCCTCTACCAAATAAATTAAATGTTTATAACCAGCAAACAATAAGGAAAAAGCACTGGGGCATCTTAGATTTCCTACCTCTGGCAGTCAATTGTGAAAAGGTAAACAAATGATCTGCTGTTGAATATTGCTTGAGAAAGCCTGCTTGTTCCCTACTAACACTCTCATTGAGGATGCCTTTGATTCATTATTTAGATGGCTCTCATAAAGATTTTGTATCAATGGGAGACCAGGGACCTGGGTCGGTAGTTATTGATTTTCTCAGATGAGTGTGTGTGAGAATAAGGTCTTAATTTTTTTCCATGTCCTTGCTATTTCCCCCTGCTTTAGATACCTTGAATATCCAATTCTCAATATCCTCATGATTGTGCCACCTCTAGATATTTGAAGACAACAGTGGAAGGGGACAACAAACAGAAGAAAAATGGAAAAGATTTGTAAAAAATATTCTAAGCTGTTTTCTCTAGCAAGGACAATGGAAGTAACATGCTTGGACTTTAATATACTGTGTACACACACAGACATATATAACTCGGGCATGTTGATTGTAGAAGGTCTGGAATACCTCCAAGATTAAGAGGGAGGGAGTCATGGAAATTTTAGAGCAAAATTGAGAAAATCAAGCTTTATTTTCATGCTTAAAAAAAAAAAGTAACAAGACATAAAATGGTAATGGTGACAAGAACTCTGAAATGAAAATCTGGATTCAAATCCCTAACTCTGCCATTAGTGAGCCTCCATGTACTAATAACACTCAATAGGTCACCACCATCTCCAACACTTACACTACTCCTTGCTCCCCATCACCACTTTCAGACCCTCTGTCTACCACCACCAATGACCTCACCTCCTTTGAAATTCACACTGTCCAAATTTATCACCTAATCTAGATCCAGGTGGCTGTTAGCCATAGACCCTCAAGGCAATCCTGTTCCTCCCTCAATGAGTTCACTGCCTTACTCACAGTCTCTCTCCACCCCAACTCCTGCCCTCATACTAGGGACTTCCAACATATATATTAATGCTCCCTCGAATAACCTAACTTCCCAATTCCTCATTCTACTATATTCACATGACCCACTCCACCTCAATTACACATAGAGATGGTCATACTCTTGATTTTGCAATTGCCCACAAGTATCCCACTTCCATGTTCATGAACTTACCTTATCTGATCATAATCCTTTATCATTCCATCTATGGTTTTTGATTTCTAACTCTGTTCTGCATCCTCACCATGACCACCATTCTCTTTACCATTTACTTCTTTCTCAAGCCATCATCTCTGCACTTTCTACTCTCCGGTCTACCCTATCTCAACCCCTTGGTGAGTCAATTTAACTCTACTCTATCATCCTGAATCTTTTATCTCCCTCCCCCTTTATCCCATAGCCAGTTATACTTTGCTAAACACCAACCTTGCATTACCCCTACCATCTGCCTCATTCAAATGTTGATATCCTACAGGAAATCACAAAAACCAGGCTGATTGGTTCCCCTCCAAATTTGTTATCTAATCCCAACTGGACCCTCACTACAGCAAGGCAATTATCTTATTCCTCTCTTATAGATTCACTACCTAACTTTCCAGAATGGCTGTTCTAAAATGTCTCCTCTCCTCAAGCCACCCATAGCACCCCATCTTCTGTGCTAATGACCTCAACTCATACTCTGTGGAAAAAATTGAAGCCATTTGCCAAGTCTCCTCTTCTCCCTTGCCTCCTCTTCTGATATCACTCAGATGTCTTCCCCCATTCACCCCACTCCAGTCTCAGATGATGAGATGGTCTTTCTCCTTGCCAAGGTCAACACCTCTACTAGAACCCTTGATCTCATTTTTCTAAAAGATTCCCCTCCCACTATGATCCCCACTCTCCCCCTACCTACTTGCTCCTTTCCTGCTCCTATCAACATATCCCTATTGCTTCCATCCTTAAAAAACTGTCATTTGATCTTACTCTCCCCAAAACTATTATGCCATATCTCTTTCCATTCTTAGTTAAACTTCTTGAGAAAGTCAGCTACACTAAGAGATTCTACTTGTTTTCCTCTCCTCTCTTCCAAACCTTCTGCAACCTGGCTTCCAACCTCATCATTCAACTGAAACTGCCCTCTCCAAAGTCACCAATGGTCCAACTGCCAAACCTATTGACCTTTTCTTATTCCTCATTCTTCCTGAGCCCTCTGAAAGCTTTTGACATTGCAGACCACCCTGCTCTCCTGGATATTTTCTCCTCTCTAGGTTTTTGAGACATCACTCTCTCTTAGTATTCTTCTTACCTGTCTGACTTCTCCTTTCCTCTGACCTCTCCTGTTACCTTTTCATTTTCGTCACACCCACTGTGGATGTTCCTCAAGGCTTTGTCCTGGGCCCTTTTCTCTTTTCCCTCTGTACTAACGCACTGATGATCTCATTAGCTTCCATGGGTTAAATTAATATCTTTATGTAGATGATTCCCATAGCTATGTACGCAGTCTGAGTCTCTGTCCTGAGCTACAGTACGAAATCAACTACTTTTTGGACATACGGAATGGAATGTGCCATAGATGTCTCAAAATTAACTGGTCTAATACAGAACTCATGATTCCCAATCCACTCCTCTTCCCAACTTTCCTCTTATAATTGAAGGTGCCACCAGTTGCCCTAGGCCAACAACCTCAGGCTAGTCCTCAACTTGCCACTCCTGCCCACCTCTCAAAACCAATCTATCACAAAGTCTTATTCTCCTTCCCTTTACAACATCTCTCACAGACTTGCAATTCTCCCCACTCATGCAGCCATCAGTCTAGTTCTGGACCTCATCACCTCTTATCTGGACATTACGATCACCTCCAGATGGGAGTTCCCTGCCTTCAGTCTCTGTCCACTTTGCTTTAATCTGTCCTTAAATCAATCAACAAATACTTAATGAGCACCTGCTTTGTACCAGATGATGTAGATAAAACTACAAAGAACAAACAAGTCCTACTCACAGGAAGCTTAAATTCTAAGTAGGGAAAATAAGTACATGTATAAATATACAAAGTACAAACATAAAGTGAATAAATATACATACATGCAAAGTATATAATCTATGCCAGGGTGAACCTGCAGCCTCAAGGCCACAAGTGGCCCTCTAGGTCCTCAAGTGTGGCCCTTTGACTGAATCCAAACTTAGAAGTTCAGGACCTTGAGGGCCTTGAGGCCAAAGGTTCCCACCCCTCATTTATGCAAACATATATATATATATATAGAGAGAGAGAGAGAGAGAGATAGATAGATAGATAGATAGATAGATAGATAAAGTCCAAAATGAATAAATATGCAAAGTAGCTAAATGCCAAACGGTTTGGGTGAGTGGGCACTAGTAATTGGGGGAGAAACAACAAAGGCTTTCTGTAGAAGCTAGTGCTTGAACTGTGTCAAAAGAAAGGAACTTTATGATGTGGGAGATAGGAGAGAGTGAATTCCAGAGACGTGGGAGAGCTGGGAGATGGAGCATTATAAGTGAAGAAGAGAAAAGGCCAATTTCCCTGGATTAATCAAAGAAAGACTGAGGTCTGGAGAGATCAGTTGTGGCCACGTTGTGTAGGGCATTTAAAGAGCTTAGATTTTATCCTAGAGACAACTAGAAGCCACTGGAATTGACTGAGTTGGGGAATCCCGTCATTATAGCTATGCTTAAGAAAAATTACCTTGGCAACAGGATACAGCATGGATTAGAGTAGTGCAAGGGCAGGGAACCTGCAGCCTCCAGGCCACATGTGACCTTCTAGGTCCTTGGGTGCAGGAATTTGTTCTGTGAAGTTTGGATTCTATCAAAGAGCTGAACTTGAGGACCTAGAGGGTTACATGCGGCCTTGAGGCCACAGGTTCTCCACCCCTGGAGTAGTGAGATTCCAGTTAGAAGGTGGGAGGTATTGAAGAAGTGGTGGCCATGAGTGGAAAGATCTTGGTGATTTTCCTAAAGCACCCCCTACTCGATAAACTCCAATGACACCCTGTTCCCCCAGATCAAATATGACATCCTCTGTGCAGCACTTCAGGTTCTCTATAACCTAAGCCATTCCTAGCTTTCCAGGCTTCTTACACTTAACCCTTTACTGTCCTCTACATGCTCTAGGATTCAGTGACACCAACTTACTTCCTGTTCCTTACACATGACACCCCATCTTCACATGCATGCCTCTGTGCTGCTGTCTCCCATGCCTGGAATACTCTCCAACAGATAGAGTACTGGAACTGGAGTCAGGAAGACCTGAGTTCAAATTCAGCATCAGATCACTCATTAGGGATAGCCTAGAAGGGCTGCCTAGAGTGGAGGCCCCATCAAGGTTCGAAGGGGCTATGATTTTGGGGGGCAGCTAGGTGGCACAGTGGATAAAGCACTGGCCCTGAAGTCAGGAGTACCTGAGTTCGAATCCGGCCTCAGACAAAACACTTGACACTTACTAGCTATGTGACCCTGGGCAAGTCACTTAACCCCAATTGCCTTAAAAAAAAAAAAAAAGAAGGGGCTATGATTTGTATAATATGTAGCCAGGCTCAAGCATCCTTCCCTACTCGCTCCATCCATCCACCCCCTGAATCCAGACAAAGACAGATACCTCACAGCTATTCCTGAGATTTTATTACAAATTAACAGGAAGGGGAGAAGAGAGAGATACAAAGCAACAGTCCTTCCCATCACTCCCCTTCATCAACTTCCTCAACAATTTCTACAGGTCAGCAACTGTCTCCAATCCCCTCTCGTGGAAGAACCGGTGAGATTGTCGTTCTGTGGGAGCTTGGGTACGGGCAAAGTAGGACAGAAGGGAGGGGGTGCCAGAACCCCTGCCAGCAGCTGGTGGGCCTCCCGCCTCTTCCTCTGAGTCCTCCCTGCATGGGGGAGGAATGTACCATAGTGAAGGCCGATGCACAAGCCAGAGTGATTCCCACCACTCCAGCCTTCTCCCCAACCCTCTACCAATCCCTGGCCCCAAATGGCCTCTAGCCACCTGCTCCAAGGCCAAAACCCCAGGACTGGGATTCTCCCTGGGAGTAGGTGAGTGCTAAGGTCAACATGCTGCCAGCTGGCCCCTTTATTCCTCCCCCAAGGGGGCTCAGGGTCACCCACCAGCGAACAGGCACAGCACGTCCATCCAGGATGAGCTGAGCAGTACTCCAGCTAAAGCGGACAAACTGGGGAAAGCCAAAAACGGGGTCCAAGCACTGGGACAGCCACAACTTGGTCTTGGGGTCTGAGAAGAAAGGAGGGTCACAAAAGAAGGGTCATGGTTGGGCAGGTCCAAACCAGGTGGAATAAATCTTGGGATCTGGAGGACCAGGATTCCGGGGTCCAGAGTCCTCCTACAAGCTTCAATCCCCTCATCTGTGATGGTCAACCACCCCGGCTCCTGCACATATTCCACCCCCTTAATTCTGCTCTTTCTGGGTTCCCTTTCCATCTGCCTAACTATTCCTCAGTCTCCTTTATTGGACAACCATCTGGTGTCTGCTCCCTAATCAATTAATCATTGAGTCTTTTTAAAAACACCTGCTATATGCTAGCCACAGTGATTACAGAGAGAAAAAAGAAAATGAACCCTGCCCTCAAGGAGCTTACATTCTAGCCAGGGAAAAGAGCACATACCTATACCGGTATACACAACACAAAGAGGAATGATGCTAGCATTCATGTAGCATTCTAAAGACCCCAAAGTGCTTTTCACGTCATCTCTTTTGAGCCCCAACAACAACCCTGTGAAGTGGGTGCACTTACTACCTATGCCCTTTTACAAATGGGGAAACTGAGGCTCAAAGAGGTGACTTATCAGAATTACACAGCAAATAAGTATCTAAATCAGCATTTGAACTCAGGCCTTTTTGACTCCAAGTCCAGGGTTCTATCTGAAGTGCCACCTATCTGCCTTTACAGGCATATCTGAGATAGTTACCTGTACATACAATGTGATTTTCAGGGGAAGTCCTGGGAGGACACCAAGAAAGGTCTCAGAATCTAAGTTGAGACTTGAACAAAACGAGGGGCTGGGATTCTGACAGATGAAGGCTGAGGAAGAAATGCATTACAGAAATGGGGGGCAGGAGCAGCTAGGTGGCTCAGTGGATAGAGCACCAGCCCTGAAGTCAGGAGAACCGCAGTTAAAATGCGGCCTCAGACCAAATACTTGACACTTACTAGCTGTGTGACCGTGGGCAAGTCACTTAATCCTAATTGTCTAAAAAAAAAAAAGTGGGGGGAGGCCAGTGAAAATGCAGGGAGGCCGAACATGGAGTGCTGGGCACAAGAAAGAGCAGGAAGGGTGGGTCTGCCTGCACCAAAGTGGATACAGAGAGGAGAGATTTGCAAAAAGAAAGGAAAGGACATGTGAGAACAGGACTGTAAAAGCCTCTGAATGTCGAGCAGAGGAGTTTATAGTGGATCCTGGAAGTAATAGGGAGCCACTGGAGTTTAATAGGTAGAAGAGTGACTTGGTCAGATTTGTACTTTAAGAAAATCAGTTTGACAGCCATGTAAAGGACGGACTGGAGAGTGGAGAGACGAGGCAGGCAATGAGAAGTCTACTGCAATTAATCTAACAGCTCAGATGAGAGCTGATAAGGGCCTGAACTAAGGTGGTTTGGGTGTGAGTGGAGACATGGAAGTAGAAAGAAGAGATTCTGTGGAGGAAGAAACAAGATGTGAAAACTAAGTGAAACATCACACCTATCAGATTGGCTAACATGACAAAACAGAACAATGACAAATGCTGGAGAAAATGTGGGAAAATTGGAACACTAATGCATTGTTGGTGGAGTTGTGAGCTGATACAACCATTCTGGAGAGCAATTTGGAACTATGCTCAAAGGGCTATAAAACTGTGCATACTATTTGCTCTCCTTTTTTTGCGTTGCTTTTTCTTTCTCATGGTTCTCCCATTGGTTCTAATCTTCTCTACAACACAACTAATGTGAAAATGTTTAATATGAATGTATATGTAGAGCCTATATCAGATTGGACACTGTCTTGGGGAGAGGAGGGAAGGACATAAAATTTAAAACTCAAAAGCTTATGGAGGTAAAATGTTGAAAACTAAAAAATAAATTAATTAATTAAAAGGAAAAAAAGAAAACTAAGTGACTAGGGGCAGCTAGGTGGCGCAGTGGATAGATCACTAGCCCTGGAGTCAGGAGGACCTGAGTTCAACCCAGTCTCAGACCAGACACTTGACACTTACTAGCTGTGTGACCCTGGGCAAGTCACTTAACCCCAATTCCCTCACAAAACACAAAGAAACAAACAACAACAACAAAAAAACTCCTGTTTCATATCACCAACTGCTCACTGGTAAATTCTACCACCACTGTCCCCACCGCACCCCCGCCTCCCACATCTCCTCTACCCCCATCTCTAAAACTCTGTTGTTGTTTTTTAATTTAATTTAATTAAAAAAACTTCACCATCCTTCCACTAGCTCAGATTTACAGCATCAGCCTTGCTTAGCTCTCTTCCCTCTCTCCCACCCCCCACATCTAATCATTTGTACAACGGTTGAGCTTGTCTCCACAATATCTCCTATACCTATCTGGCCTCTTCTCCAGTGACATGGCCACCACCCTCATTACATTTCATCTGAACTACTGGAACAGCTTCCTAAATGGTCCTTTGGTTTCCACTATCTACCTTCTCCAGCCCACCTTCCAAACAATTGCCAAAAAGACTTCAGTGGCTCTCTAGTGACTCTAGGGTAATATATAAAGCCTGCCATTTAGAGCCACTTCACAGTTTGGATTCAGTCAAAAGGCGGCACTTGAGGACCTAAAGGGACATATGTGGCCTCGAGGCCAAAGGTTCCCCACCTCTGTCTTAGACTCTCTAGCTTCCTTTGGGACTCCTACAGGAAATCTTCCCTGATCTCACGTTACACCCTCCCAATGTAAACTCGAGGGGAAAAAAAAGAAACATTTCATTTTTGTCTTTGTCTCTCTGGCACCTAGCATGGTACAGAGAACACAGTTGAACTGTTTGATAAATGCTGGCTGAGTTGAGCTGAGCACTGGTTTGAGAATCAGAGAATCTCTGGGTTCCAATCTCATTACCCTCATTTACTCTCTGAGTAATTTCGGAGAAGTCTCTTCATTTCTCTGGGACTTGGTTTTCTTATATATAAAATGATGGCATTGGACGGACAATGTGATCTTCACGTTTATTTCCATCTCAGACTTTGTCTCATGCCCCCTCGTGGCCATATTGCACGGTGGTCCCCTCTTTAACCCAGTCTTGACTTCACAGGGGAAGGGGGTGAGGGGGTGGGGAGGAAGGCCACTGGTTTGACTTCGTCACTCACCATTGGGATAGCCAGACCCATAATCCATTTTCAGGTCCCCGAGGTCTTCCAGAAACTTCCATTTCTTCACAACGTGGTCCCGAGCAACCTGGAGGGGTAGGCTAGGCAAAGGTGAGTATTAGGCCAAGGGCAGGTTGGTACAGCTCTCTTGTGGGTATGTAGTAGGCATTTATCTAGGTCTAGGGAGTCCAGACAACAGAGTGGGAGGGGGACTGACCTTGGCACAAATGCTGGCAGCGCTGACCACAGGGAAGAGGGAGTCAGCTTTGGGTCGAACAGTCACCTCCACCTCTGGAAACCTCTCCTGAAGTTTTTGCTGGTATTTGTCAGCCGGTCCTACTGTATCCACAAACACCTGCAGAAACCAGGGGATGAAGGTCAGAGTCTGGGAAACCCCAATTGGCCCAACCTCCAACCCATAGGTGCCACTGACCTGAGTGACCCTCACACCCTGATTCAGAGCCAGCTGCACCAAGGCCATGGCAGTGTCGTGAGAAAGGGAGTTCAGGTTATACTTGGCCCTATGAGGAAACACATGGACATGCTCAGCCCCTACAGGGCCCCAGCTCTTGTTAAAGGGCAATTAAGTATCTTTGTTAAGGATACTTAAGGATTCCCACCACCGGACTTGAGCCTGGAGCGACTTTACCTTTCCAAGGCAGGGTCTTGAAACCTCATAGACCTTACAGCTGGAAAGGACTTTAGACAGCAGCCAATTACCTCACTCATTTAACAGTGAGAGAAACTGAGGCCCAGAAAGCAGGAAGGAACTTGTTCAAAGTCACACAGCTGGTAAGTGGGGGGAAAGGGGAAGCAATGTCATGGAGTGAAGAGAGTACTGGAATTGGAAACAGGAAAAGCAGGACTCAAATTCTGCCTCTGACATTTACTAGCTAGATGGCCCTGAGCAAGAAGTTAAGAGTTTTCTGAGGGTCAGCTAGATGGCCCAGTGGATAGAGCTCTAGCCTTGGAGTCCGGAGGACCTGAGTTCAAATGTGACCTCAGACATTTGACACTAGCTGTGTGACCCTGGGCAAGTCACTTAATCCTGACTGCCTCACCAAAAAAAAAAAGAGTCCTCTGAGTCCCACTTCACTCATTTGTAAAATGAGGAGGCCTCTGAAGTCTCTTCCAGCTCTAAATCTGTGACCCTATGATTCAAACTCAGGTCTTTTGGAGACTTTACTGCATTTCAAAGGCTATAGAGGAAGAAGGACTAAATTCAATGACAGTGGGCCACTTTGGAGTGGAGAGAGGACCTGTCTTACAATCAGGAAGAACTGGGTTTAAATCCCACCTCAGAAACTTCATAGATTATGTTTGACATGACTTCACAGGAATAATCTATATCAAATTGCTTGCCTTTTCAAGGATCAGGGAGGAGAAGGAGGAAGGGAGAGAATTTTGAACTCAAAATTTTAAAAAATAAATGTTAAAATTTTTTTTACAGTAATTGAGAAATATTTAATGAAATAAAATTATATTGCAGAAACTTGATAGCTGTGTGACTATGGATACATGGGCATTTAACCTCTCTGTGCCTCAGTTTCCTCATCTGAGGGTAGCCAGGTAGCACAGGGAATAGAGCACCAACCCTGAAGAGGACCTGAGTTCAAATCTGGCCTAGCTGTCACAATAGCTGTGTAACTGTTGGGCAAGCCACTTAATCCCGTTGCCTCCACACACAAAATGTGTGTAAAATGAAGGAAGTTTATACTTTATGATCCTTTCCAGCTCTGAACCAATAATCTTTAATAGTGTAGAGGCCATGTTAGGGTCAATCTAAGGAAGTACTTTCTAACAGGGCTATACAAAAGGGAAATGGGCTTGCTCAGGCAGGCTTAAGTAGGTTTTACTCTACTTGAAGTTGACAAGCAAAGGATGGGTGACCACTCCATGGAGGGGATGTTGGGTGAGGTACGTGTTGGGCTAGAAGATGATGCCCAAGATCCCTTTCCAGCTCTGAGACCCTGTGCCCCGAAATCTAGTGTTCTTGACATTACCCAGGTTGAGCAGTACAAGGGTCAAGTTGCTGCCCACCCAGGAACAGCCCTCACCGCCTCTGCATGCTGGTGGAGATGAGGTTCGGGGACAGAATGTCCAAGGCCCAGCCTACAAAGCCTCGGGCCTGATCTAGCTTCCCAAACAGTTTCTCCCTCTCCGCTTCCGATAGGGTCTTTGAGTCTGTCAGGGTGGAAAAGAGAAGAAATGCAAAGAAGGAGGCTTAGTCAAAGGCGCACAATCCTGTCCCCCACCCCACCCCACCCCACAGCCGCTGGAAAAGCCATCATTGCAGGACTCACCTGCCACCTTCAGGGCCTCCAGGTCACTCAATTTGGACAAGGGGCAAAAGCAGATGCCGTAGACCATGGGGCCTGGCGAAAGGTGAGAGCTAGAGTCAGATGCCTCTGGTCCCCAGATCTTGGATCTTGACTCCCCCAGCCCAGAGCCTACTCTCCAACCACGGCTAACCCTATAACAATCCTTTAGCCCAACTGCTCTACAACCAGGGCACACCTCTAGGCAATTTGCCACCCTTCAGAAGTGCCCATTCTGGGGCAACCCCCAGCCCTCCTGCAAACCGCTCCCAGCCTAGAGCCCACCCGTCCTACAACAGATGCATCCCACAGCCCCGATGCAATATCCCCTAGCTCGAAGCCTACCCCAGGACAACCCTCCAGCCCGGATACAATCCCCCGCCCCAGCACGCAGGCTCCAGCCCAGGCCCCAATCCCACCCAGAACAGGCCCTCGGCCGGCCTCATCGATGCCCAGGCAGCAGTCCTCGGTGCGGCACAGCTCTGGCACTGGCGAACTCAGACGGCAGCTGCCTGTGTTGTCCCGCTCAAAGTCTCCCAGATCCATGCTAGCAGCAAACCAAGCAGTCTCGGACACTTGCTGAGAGATTCCGCAACGGGCACAGGTCTAGGCGGGCTTCCCGCCCCCGGAAACTTCCGAGCCAATCCTGAACTTGCTGTACGACCCTGTAGCTTTCTGGGAGTTGTAGTTTCATTAGCAAGAGCGCCACCTAGCCACGCATCCCCAGGTCAATCATAGATTTAGTAAACGTTGTAAAAGGACTTGGAAAGGAAGAAACCTAGAATTTCAGGAGCTGAGAGGGAGCTCAAAAACCATCCGATCCAATCTCTCCTCTTAAGCACAATCTTCCTTCAAACATCATCCACCTGTATCCATCTACAATGCTTTTTGACTGACTACTGACTAACTAAAGCTCTCCACTGCCAAGAAGTAACTTACCTGCTTAACAGAAACCAAGGCATTGCCCCTATGTAAAACGTCCCAGAGGCTCCCTTTTGCTTCTGTTACATAATACCAACTCCTTTGGAATTTAAAGCCCTTCACGACCTGACATCTACTTTTCCAAGCTTTTTACACTTTGTGGACAGCCAGCCAAACTGGCTTACTTTGTTCCATCCCTCACACATGACCTATCCTATCTCCCCTGACTATACAGCTCTGAAATGCAGTCTTTCCTCACTTTCACTGAGAATCTTTAGCTTCACAATTGAGCTCAAACACCATCTCATATGTGAGATGCTGCCAGATCCCCTAACTCTGCCAGTACTTTCTACCCCCTATTAATTTTATATTAACTTTTTTCCCCCTTTTTAGGCAATTGGGGTTAAGTGACTTGCCCAGGGTCACACAGCTAGTAAGTGTCAAGTGTTTGGTCCAAGACCGGATTTGAACTCAGGTCCTCCTGACTTCAGGGCCAGTGCTCTCTCCACTGTGCCACCTAGCTGCCCCTTATTAACTTTTTAATATATATACATGTTATATATGTATAATTATCTATTATACACACGTTTCCCCTCCCATAGACTGTAAGATTCTTGAGAACAGAGACTCACTGTTGTTTGTATTTTCAGCTTCTGCTTAATAAATGTTTATTGACTGAGTAATCATTCATTAGATTGATCTAGTCCAACCTCCTCATTTTACAGGTGGAGAAACTGAGAATCAGAGAGGCAAAAGGACTTGCCCAGTGTCACAGAGCCATTATATGCAGCCAGGATTCTAACCCAGTTCTTTTGGCTCAGTCTCAGAGGCAGCTAGGTGTCCAAGTGGAGTGGATAAAGTGCTGGGATAGAGTGGATAGAGTCAGGAAGACTCATCTTTGTGAGTTCAAATCTGGCCTCAGACACTTTCTAGCTGTGTGACCCTGGGCAAGTCATTTAACTCTGTTTGCCTCAGTTTCCTCATCTGTAAAATAAGCTGGAGAAGGAAAGGGGAAAACACCCTAGTATCTTTGCCAAGAAAACCCCAAATGGGGTCACAAAGAGTTGGACATGATTGAAATGGCCCAACAACAATAGGCTAGTGTTCTTTTCTTATCAAACTTCTCTGTTCATGCCTCCAAAACACTAACAGCAGTAGGAGCTACTATTTGGACGCCTTAGCAGGAACTAAGGAAAAATCTAATCCACTAGGATCAGGTCATCTCAGCAAACACTATCTTCTCCACTTCTGCTGCCTCAGAGCACTAGGGGCCTCTCCTAGTAGACGAGGCACTGCCTCCCCAGAACTGGGTTCTGCCTGCTGAGGCCCAAGCAGGTAGGCTCCCCTCAGGTCAAGTCTTCCCTGACCCAGCAGCTCTGGCATGCAGTGGGTGTGGCTACGGATCTTCCTGGACCTGCTGGAGTGGCTTTACAGCAAGGTTTAAAATTACTTTTAATAACAATAGTAATGATAGAGATGATCTCATACTGATCTTCAAAGCATTCAAGGTGGAGTAGGCCTCAGGGGAAAAACTGAACCCCACACGCAGCAGACAGACAAGAATGATATCAACCCAGAAGTCCCCAGCACTGATGTCCCTTCCCCCTCAGGATACCCCTTTCCTAAAAGCTCAGATCTTTCTCTCTTCCTTACCCAAAATCCAACTGGGATCGTGTAAGGTACACATGAAGGGCCTCCCTGAGTTTTCTATCTTCCTTTCTCCTTCTCTGGGTTTAGGCATTTGCTTTTGGCCATGCTCACTCTGTGTCCTCAGGCCCTCTAGTCACACTGGCCCAGAGAGCAGCTAGTACAGTTGTTGTGACTGCAGGGCTGTCGCTGCACAAGGCTGTCCCTGTCCACAAACACAGGCCCTGCAGATGCCCCTACCACATCCCGCCTTCGCTCTTGAACTCCCAGGAGACACTGGCAAGTCCACGATCCCCACGGGCCCAGTGGCAATTCTTCTGGCTCTGGGGGGAAGAAAAGACTGGTCAGCCAGGGAGCTTGAGCCTTGGCAGGGTTTCCTCTCCCACCCAAAACTTCCAGGATTAAAAGGGATACTTCCCAATATGCCAAGACTCTTAATGGTTGTTGTTGAATTGAGTAATAGGACCCGGGGAGGAATCTGGGCAGATTTCATTGTGGGGATGGTATGTGTATGTGTGTGTGTGTGGTGGGGGTAGGGGTTGTAAATCTTTGTTAAGTTGGGGGGGGTGCACTGTATAAGTGCCTCTGATCTTCTTTGGCTGTAAACCTGAGCTACACTTTGCATCGTCCCCGAGCCCGCTGCACCAACGGAAGACTCCTTCAGCTCACAGATGTATAACATCTGAGGTCAAATCTGGAGGCTCTGGGGGGGTCGAGGGAATCTCAACCCCTTACCCAGTTCTCTCTCCCAAGAATCTCCGGAGCCTTGCTCTCCGAAATAATGATAGTCTGGGCCTAGGCAGGTTGGGGGCCAGACCAGAAGGAAAAGCAGTAGCAACCTCAACTGCAGTCTAGCCATCCACGGCCACTGCCCCCTCTAATTCAGTAGCCCCCTTAACCGCTGTCAGTCCCCGGTCCAAACATTCTCCCGGAGCTCCGTTATCTGAGCTGCTAGTCAGGAGGGTCAGGCGAGGGGAGGGGACAAGGGGGAGGGAAGAGGTCAGTGGCCCCCGCCCCTTCAGCTTCGGAGTATTCTGGCTTCTCGCCCCCATCCCACACCCCCTACGACGCATCAGCAGGCCCGCCTTGGCGCGTCGCGTCCGCCCCCAGGCGCGCTCCCATACGTCCCACCCAACTCCTCCTCCTCTTCTTCCCCCCGCCCCCCCCCACGGTCTGGCTTTAGGTGGTACAGGCCGCGGATAAAAGGCGCGGGCGGAGGCCACTCGCACCCTACATTTGGTTTCCCGGCTGCCGCTGTTGCGGTCTGGGAGCACGCGCTGCCTGTCTTTGTAGGCTTGGAGCCCGCCCTCCTGCAGGTACAGTACGGTGCAGTGCGGCACGGTGCGGTAAGGTACAGTAGGATGCAGCTTAACCCAGGCAGGTCCAGATCTAGGCTAGGGAAGTGGGAAACAACGGAGGCAGCCTGCGACTCCCCTTTTCCAGGCAGATTGTGTTCTATCCTGGTCCACGGTTCTCCCGGCTCTTCCCTCTGCACGGAGCAAGAAACCCCGCCCCCCTCCTCCTGATCCCTGCCTTTGTTCGTTGTGAGCGATTAGGAACTGAGCCCAGGTGAATTCTCCTTCACCAGTTCTCCACTCAGCAGGGAAACTGATCCTTGAGAGGAATCTAGGCATCTCTTTGTTCCTGCTCTAGAGGCCTAACTCAGCTTGAATCTATGTTCAGGGAGGAGGTGGAAGAGCCTGCAACCTGTGCCCGGGTGCCCAGACCTGTTTCCCTGGTGGGGTGGGGGCAGCGCGGAGGAGGCAGGAGGGCTGGGTCTGAATTGCCCCTTTCCCTCTGGGGCTAATCTAGTCTGGCCCGTGTGCCCAAGTCTCTGCGTTCGACCCATGGTGGGAGGGATGGGGGCGGGGAAGGGGGGGCTGCATGTGACCATCTTTGTCTGACCCACGTGCCCAGCCTAGCCTAGGGAAGTGTGGGGGGAGGGGAGGTGGTGCTGGGTTGCACAGCCAGGGGAAATGCGGATCAGGTGCCCTGGTTGACCCTAAGGGGAAAATCCTTTCTTCCAGTCATGTCCTCTGGAAATGCTCACATTGGAAAACCGGCCCCTGACTTCCATGCCACTGCTGTGATCGATGGGGCCTTCAAGGAGGTGAAGCTGTCGGACTATAAAGGTGAGATAATAGCTTTAGAGGTCAGAGATACTGGGACCTTCCCCTTTTCTGGAGGATGGAAGTCAGGGTGTGAGGAGATGATCCTATCACCTGCAGAGTAGTGGGGGAAGGGGCCCTAGCACCTGTCCCTCACTCCTTTTTGTTATTATTGCTCTAGGGAAGTATCTGGTCATATTTTTCTATCCACTGGACTTCACCTTTGTATGCCCTACCGAGATCATCGCCTTCAGTGATCGGGTGTCTGATTTCCATCAGCTGGGCTGCGAAGTCCTTGGAGTGTCTGTGGATTCCCAGTTCACTCACTTGGCCTGGTATGATTCTGGCTAGGAGGAGGAGGGGAAGGAACCCTGCCCTCTCTGACTTTCGGCTTCTCCCACCATCCACAGAGCACTGGAAGGGTCACTGGCTGGTGCCTCCTTTTCTTTGCTGTGGAATATCTTGTAACTACTCTTGAATTGGGACAAAGGGGTTCCCAAAGCTGGGTTGCAGGGTCTCTTTGTGGTAATTAGAACCAGAAGGGACTTAGGAAGACATTTCATTTAGCCCCAATCAGAGAGGTTAAGAACAATGGCTACTGATTCACAAAGTAGGAGAGCTGGTATTTGAACTCAAGTCTTCAGACTCTTGGTATAGTTGTTGATTGTTTCCACCATACCAGCCAGTACTTTCTGTTCCATCTGCCTCAGAAATAGAGAACATCATCCTCCTCCTCTTGCCTTACCACTCCCTCCTGGGTGTGGTAGGTTTGGGCTTTGGAAGCCCTGCCTGCAACTCCTTTATCACCTACTCTGGCCTCTTTGAGCTGCCCTTATCATCTACTGGTCAGGCCCCGGGGGGGGGGGGGGGGGGAAGGGGGGAGGATTAGGATTAGGAGAGGAGGAACACCTGAGCAAAGTTAAGAGGGCTCCTTTTTTTGGAGACAGGGAAAGATGGCCTCTCATTGGGGGAGGGGCCTCTGTGGTGGTAAATAACTTGGAAACTTGTTTCTTGCCCTCCCTAAAAAGGATCAACACCCCTCGAAAAGAGGGTGGCCTGGGTCCTTTGAAAATCCCCCTACTGGCAGATGTAACCAGAAACCTAGCTCGAGATTATGGGGTGCTGAAGGAGGATGAAGGCATTGCCTACAGGTATGGCTGGGGGACTCTCTGTAAGCATGTCCTGTTCTGTCCCTAATCTTCAACAAGTTTGGAGTCACCGTTCTGACTTCATCTTAGTTTTTGCCACCCCCACTTTTATAGTCATGAACACAGACAGGTTTTGGACTGTGTAGAAGCAGCAGGTAGTTGGAAAATTTTAAAACTAGAAGAGACCTTGGAGGTTATATTGTCAAATCTCATTCTGCAGGAGCAAAAACTGAGGCTGAGGGATGAGTGGATAAAGTCACACAAGTTCTAAGTCCAGAGCCAGGTTTCAGACTTGGTGGGGGAGGGCATAGAATATTAGGAGCCAGATACTTCCCCAAAAGAAAGTAAGTCTCAACCCTTACAGATATGGCAGAAGAATGAGTTTGGAATTAAAATCCAGTCTTTTTTCTACTGAAAAAGGTGTTGACCAGGCCTGGGTAGGTTCCAGGGTCTTACGCTAGTCCCTCTCTATTTACCCAGGGGCCTCTTTATCATTGATGCTAAGGGCCTGGTCAGGCAGATCACTGTCAATGACCTGCCTGTGGGGCGCTCAGTGGATGAGGCTTTGCGACTAGTGCAAGCATTCCAGTACACAGATGAGCATGGAGAAGGTGAGCCTTTCTATTCCCCATCCTACTCCACTCCTCCACGCCTAGTTGTGTGTGTGTGTGTTTTATACTTCCTAGGTGGCTACCCTGTGGACTGAGGATTGAACTAGTCTCCTTCTGGCTTTGGATGAAGGGCTGGGATATCTGTCTCCTGCCCCATTTCCACTTCTGTTTCCTTTTTTCCCCTCTCCCAGTATGCCCAGCAGGCTGGAAGCCTGGAGGAGACACTATCAAGCCCAATGTGGAAGACAGCAAGGAGTATTTCTCTAAGAACAACTAGGCAAGCAATGCTGCTGCTTTCTGTGCTCCGGTGGCAAACCTTCATATGGTGAAGGAGGCTTCTGCCCCTCTTGGGTAGTGGCCCTTGCCCCATATCTCCTCTTAATCTTTTCCCCCTTATAGAGGGGGCATGTATGAGAGAGGAGGAAGGGGTCTGTGTCTAATAAACTTGGGAAAATCAAACATAGCATTTTGAGTCTCTCTTGCAGCTGGTCTCTGAATTCTCTGTTCCTTAGCTTATCACACAGTTGGAATCTACAAGCTCTGTTGCACTTCTGTGGGCCTGAAACCATGCCTAGGTGCTGGAGGAAAAGGTAGTTTACAACCTGGTATCCTCATCTGAGTACCCTCATCTTTTTCCATCCATTCTAATCCCTTGGGTAGCTAACCCACGTGACTAAAGAAGGGCAGGGCCTTTAGACACCTGATTTATGCAGCTCTTACATTTTGCCACCAGAGGGTGACCTTGCCTCAAGCTCCCACAGCTGAGGAGGGAGGTTGGGGAAAACTAGCTTTGGTACAGGAGCATCAGAGAATGGCAGAGCTTGGGGAGGGAGAGTTGAGAGATGAATGTTTGTGATCTTGTGAGCCTTGGGTTATAGACTTGCAGAGAAGAAGCCGAGGAGGGTGGGGTGGACAGGGAACTGCTTGACCTGGGCAGCATATATCTGAGACCATCAGTTTGGTCTCTTTTCTGGAGTGAAAGCTTGAATTTTAGGGGATGGTTTCTTCACCAGGAGAGGGAAGAGAGGAGAATTGCCTCCAGCATATTGTTTTCCCTGAGAAAATCATACATACACACACACACACACACACACACACACACACAGTGCCCTTCCTGTCTCTCACTGTTTCTGGTACATTTGAAGGGACGGGGAATCAAGGAGATGTTGTTGGCATGTAAAGTACATGCAACAAGGAACCAGTCCAAGTCTTCCTTCAGCTGAAGAGGTAATAGAGCTGTGATTTAAAAAGTCTTCCTTGAGATCTCTGATACCCCATCTCTGAGACTGCATTTCTGAATGGTAACCCTGCCCCACCACTTTCCTGAAGTGAAGGCAGGGATTTTGGGGGGGGGGATTCCCTGGGGAGAGCGTAACCTTCCCCTAAATCTCTCTGAAACCCTAGCAGTGTGCCTACCCTAGCTTCCTATGACTGGTACCTAGGTGTGAGGAGGTGGGGGGCAGACCAAGGGACCAGGCATCAAAGGCTTGGTGGAGTGAGGATACCAAGTAGCCTGACCAGGCCAATTGCTCACAGGGCCAAGGGGAAGAGATTGCCCCCAAACCCTTCCTGAACTGTGTGCTTCCTGACTGTCTGATCATGTCTTCCCCTCTCCATGGTATAAGAGCTAGACCCCTGTCTGAGTCCAAGGGTTGGGGTGGAAGGGGGAGGGTTGATACGGCCTTGGGCACAACTCCTGGGGAAGATGGGTAGCCGCCTGTATGTCTAGTCTATTTGGTTCCCTTTTCCCCCCTTCCCCCATCCCAGGTGCTGGGCCTGCCCTGCCTGAGCCCCAGGCTGGGGGAGTGGGCGAGGCTGCAGCGGCGCCTGTCGCTGGTGGGGCACAGAGGAGCCGACAGGGCATGACCAGACCTGGACGCCCTGGCATGGGAAGCTGGCACCACCCACCACCTGGGACTAAGGCGGGTGTGGGAAGGAGTGTAGACTGGAGGCAATCACCACCCTTCCTGGTCAGCCGGGCACTGGAGAGCCCTGCCTCCCCTCCCCCAGTCCCAGGCTGGCTTCAGGGTCCTGGCAGACGAGTTAAGGCGCCAGGCTGGGGGCGGGGGAGGAGGAGAAAGACTGGACAGCTTTGCCACAGAACGTAACAGGTTCCCTGGCGCTGTGGGTCCCGGGTTTGGTCCTTGGGACACCGCGTGTAACAGCACAGACTCTGGCTTCCCAGCTCTGCATCCCGCCCATTGCCACAGAGGAGGGGGGTTTCCTGGCCTGGGCCCTGGCCGAGACTGGGCCGCCGCCCCACTTCTTGGTCTGGGAAAATCCCGGCCCCTCTTCCCGGTGCTCAGGGTCAGCCGGGCAACGTGGGAGGGGATTCCCGGAATAGGCCTGACCGCCGGCGCGTCACTGAGCAGAAACGGCCCATATATGGGCATGGCTTCCTGTGCGTCACCGGGAAAAGCCCCCTGGCGCGAGGAACCGCGCTTGCGCAGCCAAAGGCCCACTCCATCTCCCCTGTAGGGTCTTTTCTCGGCAAAAGAAAGGTTTGGGTCTAGCCTCAAAGCGAGAAAAAGCCCCAGTGACGTCACAGCCAGTCCCTCCTGGCCAGGACGGCCCAGGGCCTAAGACTACAGAAACCGAGACACTTATAGAGATTAATATGAGAGCCTAAAAACAGAGACTGACTGGAGAGCCACACAAAGACACTAGAGACTGAGAGAAAGGGACATAGAGAAAAAGGAACTAGACCGAGGCAAGAAAGAGCCAGAGATTCCTAGAACATACGTCTATTAGAAACATAAAGATGGATAGATGGATAGATGGATAGATAGATAGATAGATAGATAGATAGATAGATAGATAGATAGATAGATAGATAGATAGATAGATAGATAGATAGGAAGGAATAGGGACAGAGACGCCCATAATAGGCAGGCTCAGGAAGCAGTCATCAAAAAGTTAGGTGCCGAACCAGGTTGAAGATTCAAATTAGCCCTCCCTCTCCATTCGCATTCCCTCCCCCATCTTTTAATTAAGACGCCAGGGAGTAATAAATAATAAACAGTCTTTTTTTACTTAAATAATTTCAATAAAAAGTCAGAACAACAAAAAACACACACAAAAATGATAAAATAAACTTTAAAACCCAAGTGCTTCGGGAGACACAACCCCATGGAACCCTCGGGGCAGGCAGGGGGGACAGGCCGAGAGTATCCCTTCCGAGGGGCTCCCTCCAATCCCTTCCTCGCCACCTCTGGGGCCGAGTGCGGGCAGCGGGGCCAGCTCCGCCGCGGGATAGAACTTCTTTCTTAAATACACAAATATATTATATTCAATATGAATCGTGTCTGTTTCCAGCAGAAAAAAAAAACGTACAAAACAGGGAGTACAGAGGGTCGCCCAGAGGTGTGGGGGCCCAGGCCAAGGTAGGGCTTGTAAACTTCGCGATTTGAACTAGTGGGTGAGTGGGGAAGGAAGAGGGCGAGCCGACAGGCGCGCTGGGCGGGGCCCCTCCGTCTAGTCCAGTGCCCTCCAGGTGGCCCTGCCCTCCTCCCGCGTCTCAGAGTCTGCGGCCCGCCCATACCCGGGCAGAATCACGCGCGGCGGGGGCGTGAGGGGGAGAGTCAGTCACGCAGCCGGGTCCGTGGGCGGGCCGCGAGTGGGCTCAGAAGTTCTGCATCTTGACGGCCAGCAGAAGCTGGCAGCCGCTGTTGACGTGGCTCAGCACCTTCTGCTTGAGCTGCGCCACCTGTTCACGGAGCAGACTAGCCGTGTTCGACAGCCCAGCGTTTTCGGACTTCAGTGTCTTCACCTTGTCCTCGAGTCGAGCGATGCGCTCCAGTTTCCGTTTGCGGCACTTGGTGGCCGCCAGCCGGTTCCGCAGTCGTTTCCTTTCCACCTTGATGCGCTCCTGGTCCTCCATGTTGATGGGTGACACGGGTGGTGTCCCGTCCCTGCTGCGCGCCTCGGGCACCGTCTGTGGTTCCTCCTTAAAGGCCGCCAGCGGCCCCGCGCCTCCCGCCGCCCGGGCACTCAGCCCCACTGCTGCCGGGTGGCCCCCGGGAAAGGGCGGTCCGTGGGGGAGGTAGCTGATGGTGGCAGTAGGGTAGCCGCCCGCGGCCCCTGCTCCCGCGCCCCCACTACCTCCACTGGCGCTGTAACTGGTGAGGTTGGTGTAGACAGGAGGTGGTTCAGGACCCAGAGCTGAGGGGCCGTAAACGCTACTAGGGGGAGCTGGGGGCCCTGCCGTCCCGGAGCTGCCACTGCTGCTGCTCAGTGACACGTTGGGGGGCGTCACGTGGTTCATCTTGTGCAGGTCGTCAAGCGCTTTGACGAAGCCATCTGCGAAACCCTCCTGCTCCTCCGTCACACTGCGCGAGTAGAAGTACTGGCCCGGCGGCGTGGGCGTTGTGGTGATGAGCCCGTTGCTGTTCTGCGCTATGAGGCGCTCCAGCTCCGGAGACGCGAGCTTTAACGAGCCCGCGGGCCCAGCTGGGGCCTCGTTCTGAGGGGGAGGTGGCGGTCCCGAAAAGTAGGCGCCACTTGCGTCCTCTGGCCCGGGTCCCCGACCATGCCCTGGCGCCTTGAGGCCGCGGTAGGGGTCAGCGGCAGCTGCAAGATTGAGCGCCAGGTTCTGTTTCAGCAGCTTGTAATCATGCAGTCCCAGTGCGGCGGCACCTCCCCGGCCATAAGCTGCCGCCGGGTAGGAATCATCGTGGTAGAAAGGTTGCTCCATCTTCGTGCACATCCAGGCCCCCGCGCGCCCAGCCCGCAGCTCCCGGCGCTCCCCGCTGCGGGGAGGAGAAGACCCCTGAGGCACTCGAGCTCGGATGCCTGAATACCCGCGGGGCACGCTTTGAGAGGTTCAGGTCAGACCAGACGATTCAGGCTTCCGGAACGCACCTGGTTGCTAAACCTGAGTTCCCCCTGCTGTACCCCACTCTTCCCGGCCTCAGTCTTCAGTGACCACCTCCACCCCTTCAAGTCCCCAGAAAACAGTGGCAAGGCTCTTGTGTTAGTGGGGCAGATCTGACAGCAGGAGCCCAAGTCCTGGCCTGGTTCAGCTCCTTTGCGCCGCGCCCTGCTTGCTAGCTGGCTCGGGCGATCAAGGCTCTATGGCTGCCTGTCGTTCTCAAGCTCCCGTTCCGATCCCACAGCCTTCGGACTCCCCGCTTCTTTGCCGGCCTCGCTGCGTACCCCAGAGCCTTTATACGGCAGTGGCTGCGTAAGCGATCGCTGATTGGTTGTGCGGGAGAACCAGGCCCCCGCCTCCTCCCGCACCCCACTCTCCCCCTCCCCGCCCAGTATGCCTGGGCTCGGCGTGGGGAAGGGAGGAGGAGGCTGGCGTCACTGCCAGGAAGCGCGTGTCCTTGTAAACAGCGGCGGCGGGACAGGGCCGGGCAAGGACAGGACTGGGCTGGGACTGTACTGGGATGGGCCAGGGAGACAGGGAAACTGGGGGCCGAAGTAGGGGGTTGGAGGGCGGGCGGCAGAGAGACAAGGCCTGGAAGATAGAGCAGGGAAGAGGGGGACCCGGTATACTCAGGTCTGAGATATGAGATAGGGGATTCTAAGACCAAGCCGGGGATCGGGGGCGATGAAGCCCTGAATCGAGAAGCTGCTATGACAAGTCCCCGCGGGAATTCACAGATCCCTCTACTAAGAAGACTCGGACACCTTGAGCCGCCCCACTGCCGACTACACTCTCCCCCCACCACACACATACACAGTGTCTGTAATCTACTCAGACCCAGTCTGACCCTCACAGTCCAAAGACCCTTCCATCCTCGTAGTGTATTAGAAGTGTACCTGAGGACCTAGAACTGGGAAGCAGGTGGGTGGGAAGGTGTGGCAAGGGTTATCGGTGAATCGGGACCTCCAGCGCCTCTTCACTCCTCCTAGCCCCCAACCCCAGTCTGTTTGCTCCCCTGGCAGGAGGTCTGACAGGGAAGGGCGGGACGCCTGGGTTCTTCTCCCAGTCTATGAGGAGCTGGCACACCCACGGAATCACAGATTAGCAGAGCTAAAAGGTATCTTAGAAATAATCATTGAGTTCAGCTCCCTTGTTCTACGGCAGGAGGAAACCAAGGAGGAAGGTCCAAAGGCAGTAAGAAGCAGAGACCGGTTTAGAGCCCAGGTTTTCCGACTCCAAGCCTAAGGCCCTTTTTCATCTCACTTCCTCCCCCTTGAGATCTGGGTTGGTATCCGGGACGACTCCCCAGGGTGGCTCCAACTCCTGACTCTCTTCCCGGGAAACCTGGTTAAGAAAGAGCTAACTGACGGAAATGTGGCAACGGGTCTAAAGGACTGGGACTCGACAGGAGCTAAGGGAGCAGGTATGCGTCCTGCCTCTGGAACTGCTCCCCCAAAACAGGGGCAGGGATAGAACCACCTTTTTTCCCCAACAGAAACAGGTCTTGGCCTGCCTCTGGAAGTCAGTGAGACCTTCCCAAAGTTGCACTCCTCTGGGTATTTCTAAGATGTCCAAGAGTCTGGTGGGGATGGAGGGATGCAGGAAGTCTGGACTTTGGGGGGGATGGAGTTTGCTACTTCGAGTTTTTGTCTTCATCCCTAGTCTCTTGTAAAATTGGCTGGCTTGAGGGAGAAGGGGGAGGCCAGAAGGGATGGTAGAGTTTAATTCACCTGGAAGACTGCTCACCTCCACCAAGCCTCAAGCAGGTCTCAGAAGCCAAGGATGGAAATGGTGCCAGAGGCGTGGGAAGACGGACCCTAAATGTCCTCTGTGGTCAGAGGATCCCTTTGAGGGGGTTTCCAATAGAGCCATGATTGGGGTGATATAATACCATAGAGAAGGAGATGGGGGCGGGGTGGTGGAGCTCTTGCCATCGTCTCTATGGTAACACAAGGGGGCTCTAGGATATTGTCTGCCCCTGGCTCCCAGGGAAGAGGAGGAAGGGGCACAGTCTGCTCTGCGAGCTGAATAGAGCCTGAGGTACTCCTGTCTCTCCAGATTCCTGACCTTCCTGCAGGCCTATAAACCTCTGCCCCATCAAGTACCCTTATTCTTCCTGTTCCTCCAGATCTCCTCTCCAGTCCCCTGAGACTTTTCCATCTTAGAACTCTTCAGCTTCTGAACCTTTGTCTCCCAAATACCCCACTGCAGCATCTTGAGCACCCGCTCCCAGGACCCCGACCTTGGAATCCCTGCCCCATAGTGCCCTGTAGATCTTTCCTCTGAGTCGCTTCCCTTCGGCCCCCTCTGCCCCTCGCTGGGTCAGATTCCATCCCCTCCCCACCTTTCCCCCAGTGTCCTAAATCCTTGCCCGCCAGATTCAAACTCCAATTCCCTGTACTTCAAGCTCCGGCTCTCAAACTCTGGACCTCAGCCCCGACGGTCCTCCAGAATCCTGTCCCCCTCCCCCCATTCAGACTCTCTGGCCCCGCCTTCCCAGTTTCAGCCCTAAATCCAAATAAGGTCACAGGAAGGGGCGGGGCCCGGAGCCTGGAGACCCGGTTCCTGCCAGGTCCTAAGGAGGGGCCAAGTCGGGCCCCTCTCCGGCTAGTTCCAACCAGCCCCGGCCACCGCCCCCGGACAGCACCCCCCCTCACCCGCCCCTAGGCCTCCAGGCTTGTCCTGCCCCACCCCGCCCAACCCAGCCTGGTCCTATCCCCTTGCCCCGGGGCAGGATCCCAGGAGAGCCCAGCCAGGCTTGGGCCAGACTTCACCCGATCCTGGGGCGGAGGCTGGGTGAGTGGGAAGGGAGCAAAGAAGCCAAGAGGACAAAGTCCGGGGCGCTGGCGTGGCGGAGGAGCCCAGGGCCCAAGGTGGGAAGGAGGGACAAAGAGTGACAGTTCCCATTTCACAGGACAGATGGGATTATTGGATAGGACTGGGATGGTGAGGCATCATGTCAGACCAGAGGTGGGACTTCCCAGCTGCCAGGGTGTGTGTCAGGAACAAAAAGAAAATCTCACTTCCCTTCCAGAGAGGCCCAGACCTGGAACCGGGAGATGGCTGAGGTGACTTTGGAGGGAGCTGTCCAGCCCCCACTGTTACCCAGGGAGTACTTCTGCAAGGAGAGAAGCCTTGAATCAGATTCAGGACATGGACATTTGCGTTTTAGCCCCATTTCTGCCACTTACTAGTGTAAGACTGACTCCTTCCTCTCTCAGGGTCTTGGTTCCCCCATCTATAAAGTAAAGGGTCTGGACAAGATGATCACTTTACAACCCTGACACTTTAAACAAAGATAAAGATATGACTTCTGCATCGAGCAAATGAATTTCCTTCTGTGGGTCTAAGTTTCCTCATTTGTAAAGAGCTGGGTTAGATAATCTATTTCTGATTACATACAAAAACAGAAAAGTGAGGAAAGTGAGGAGTAGAGAGAGACATAGAAAGCTAGAGAGAAAGAGACATGGAAAGTAAGAGACAGAGAGAGAGAGAGAGAGAGAGAGAGAGAGAGAGAGAGAGAGAGAGAGAGAGAGAGATGCACGGAGGGACAGGGATGGAGAAAGATGGAGCTAGATGGAGCACATAGAAACAGAAAGACAGATGGAAAGAGAAACAGTGAGAGGTAGAGATGCAGGCAGACAGAAGAACCAAAGGAAGAGGGTTGCTTATGTGTGAAGTAAGAAAATGAAAGAGGAGAAAGAGAAACTGAGACTAAGTGAGCCAGATAGCTATACATACAGAGTTGAAGACAGGGTTAAAAAAATTATAATGAAGAAGCTAGAAAAGATGACAGGGACCCTATCCTCAACTCTGCACCCACAACCTCTCTGTCTGGCTTAGGTATCTGCCTATCCTCAGGATTACCCCTACGTTTGCTTCTTTTTCCTCAACCTGGCCCCCAGCCCAATGCCTCAAGTTCCTGCCTCCTTTGCCTCCCCCCCCCAACTCTCCCCAACTTGGTCCCTTTCTCCATTCCCTCTCTCATCCTGGTCTCTATCTTCTGGGATATATCCCAGGCTGTGACTGGCCAGCCAGGAGGGATGGGGTGAGTATGAGGGTGGGGGGGGAGGGAGCTGGGCTCTGTCTGGCCGGCACTTTGCCAGTCTCCCTGTCTCCCGCCCATGCTAATGACTCCCTGACTGACACCTGGCAAGACCACTGGCCTGGGGGAGGCCAGGGCCTCTGCAGGGGCTTTCCCATGATAGAGAGAAGGGAGGAGATGGGGGTGGAGGGAAGCAACAGAGGATGGGTAAGATGACTGCTGGGGGAGGGGTACAGACTCTCATTCACTGCCTACCCCAGATCCCCCTTCTTCATGCAACATCCACCCACTGCTCCCAGGAGTTCACATCCCCCAAGCCAGGGCCAGGGGTGGGCAGGGACCCAGAGGCTTTGGTGACTCAGCTCCCATAGCAAGCCTTGGTCAGCTAAAAAGATAGATATCAGGTTGAAGGGATGGGAAACAGGGAAAAAGGACTTAAAGAGACTGAGATCTAAATACAGAAGTAGACATAGGCATTATAAAGATAGGAAGAGAGAGGGAGAGGGAGAGAGAAAGAAACAGACAGAGAGAAAGGGAGGGAGAAAAGGGAAAGGGAAGGAAGGAGGAGAGAGGGGGAGAGACAGAGACAGAGATTCTTGTTTTGGGGATAGAACTAGAGGTAGAGAGAGTTAGACAATAGTTGCAGAAATACAGATGCCAACAGAGACAGGAAAGGAACTGAGAAACAGCTTTGTAGCCACTCTGTTCTGCTCAAAAATTCAATGCAGCATATCAAAGAAATAGAAATATACAGAAACATAAAGACAGAAAAATATACAGAAAAAGAGAACTGGAGAGAGATGCAAATCCACAGATCTTTTCATGTCTAGAGATATTTATTTATAAAGAATTATCAAAAGTTTAAAAACATGGGAAATAGACTAATAGGCAGGTCAGGGCAAAGAGAGGTGGCAGAGAAAAAGGGATGAAATGATGCAGAAATGATTCTTGATGAAGAAGGAAGGGAATGGAGGAGGGTGGCTAACCATTGTATTGAAAAGAAATGGATTGGAATAGAGATGGGAGTATGTATATTGTTGTGGGGATGGGATAAAAGCCTATACATCTTGAAGACTAGAAGAATGGGAGGTCATCCCTGTTTCTCTGTCCCCACCCCCTAGTTCCTTGAGAGGGCTAGTCGGGCAGGTTCCAGGCTCAGGACAGCCTCCATGACAGCCTCACCCTTGTGGCCTATGTTTCTTGGGCACCACCTCCCCCCCAGCCGCCCTGCTGGCGCCAAAGTCTCCAGCAGCCAGGTAGGCGTGGACAAAAGATTCCCCCTAACTCCCCCCACCCCGTGCCTGGCACCATAAGCACTGCCCAAGTCCCAGGGAGGTGGGCACCATCTATAGGCATCTGGTTGGACTCTGGCCCTCTCAGAAAGAGGAAGTCCTTGAGGCTGGGGTGACTTCCCTCCAGGACAGTACTCTTTGGGGCTTTTGGACAGCGTGCCCTGCAACCTAACTTCTCCTTCTTATAAATAGCCTGGTAAACCTTTCCCCCATCTTGTCCCTCCAAAAATCTCTAGCTAATCAGCAGCCCCTTGTTCCCCCTGGGAAACTGAGGTCTGGGGAGGGGAGAGTCCCCCGTTCAGTCAACAAGCAAACCAGCTGGTGGTAGAACCCAGAGGTCAGGCTTCCTAGCTCCAGGAAGTAAGTGCTGGGGAGGGGGCAGGGCAGGAGAGGAAGTAGAGAAAGAGGAAGAGGTCAAATTCAATGGGGAGTTGGGGAGGGTTAGGCCCCTCCTTCCCTGCCTGCCCTGGAAGCTCGGAGTGGGATGAAAGTAGCTGGCTAGATTTGGAGCCAAATGTCTTGAGTTCAAGTGCTAGTTCTGTTATGCACTCTCCATGTGACTATGGGCAATGTAGTGAGCTGCAAGTTTCCTCATCTATCAATTTAGAGAGCGCAATTAGGAAGTATTTTTAGTCCCTCTGGCTCTAAACCCTGTGAAACCTATGAGAAAGCAAAAAGTAATATTGGCTGAGTTCAAGGGGGAGTTTGAGGAGACCTAACTATCTTCAGCCTTAACCCTGGCTTTTCTCACCCTCCAAATCCTCCTCTATGGGCTAAGAAAGGGATGGAGAGGGTGGTTAAAGAGGAAGGAGAAATTGAGAGGCAGTGTGATGTAGTGAAAACAACCCTGGATCTCAAATTAGGAGACCTGAGTCTTAATCTTGAATCTGCTACTACTAACTGGGTGACTTACCTTGGGTAAGTCCTTTTCCTTTTCTGGGCTTCAGTTTCTATTCAACAAAATGAAGGGGTTTAACTAGATAAATTCTGAGGTCCCTTCCAGCTTTAAATCAGATTAAGCTCATGAAGAAGAAAAGAGGAAGGGTTGAGATTGAGGAAAGAATTTGAAGGAATTCATCTACTTCCCAGCTCCCAAGTTCCCTGGAGTAGTTAAAGTCAGCCTCTAGCCAAACCTATTCTGTGTGCCTGGGGTTCAATGTAGGAAGCAAAGCCCAGAGCTTTTACTTGGGTGGGGCAGGCCAATCTCCTACCCCACTCCCCAATTCCAGGGCTCCCAATCTTTCCTGGAAGTAGGAAGTACTGGGCTTACCCTCTTCCCTCTGACTCATCACTATAGGAGATGTGAGGGAGGGGGCCAATGCCAGATGTGGAAGAACCATGATTCCCATAAAACCAATACCCATCCTCCCCTCAGTGGGATATACAGCAGTATTAAGGTCTAAGTAGTTAGTAGGGAATATGTTCTAGCAAGATCCTAGATGTGAAACCCCACAAAATGAGTGGAGACTCAGAGTCCTCCAGGGGAACAAGGACAGACAGACAGGTGGAAGGGCAAATAGACTGAGAAAGCTACTAACAGATCCCTTCTGTCCCCCCCCCCCCACTGCCTGAAATGCTTATGGAGAAGGAGGGAGGGAGCAGTTTCAATTGGTTTGAGACAGGAAACATCAGTGTTGCTGTCAGGATGGGGAGGGGGGTACCCGAGAAGCAGGAAGGTCAGAACTAGTCTAGTGGTTGTTTCTAGGTTGTATATTTGAGTATGTTCTGTGGTGTATGTATCATATCAGTGTCTGTGTCCTCCCTGGGTTGTATATGTGTTTAGTTGTGTACTGTTCTCCCAGGGTTCTGTACTGAGTTTTGTTCTCAGAAGGCATTTGAATATCTCAGTTGGGGTACAGTGTCTAGGGTAGGCATGTGTGTGTGTGTGTGTGTGTGTGTGTATGCATCCCTCACCTGTATGTGTTTATATTGCATGTTTGTGTATGTATGAGTGGGTTATGTTTGTGTCTTGGATAAGTATAGGTTTTGTGTGTGTCTGTGTGTCCCTCCAGCTGTGTGTCAGGGTTTTGGTGACCCTGTTTTCACTCTCTGATGACCCAAGCTGATGTCTCCCAGAGGGGGTGGGTTGGGATGAAGGGAGAGCCGGGAATCTCCAGTCCACAGGATGTTCCCGAGACACTAGACCAGACTTGGGCTTCATCCTTCAGTTCCTCCTCCTTTTACCCCTCCCCCAACAGCTCTGCTGGCTAGCCTGCAAGCCTCTCCACAGGGACCCAGGCATTCGGGGCCCTCAGCTCCTGGGGGCGGGGCTGTGTCAGGGCTGGGGAATGAGGGTGGCAGGGAGGAGGCCCCCAACGGGCCAGACGGGTTCCTCCTCATTCCTCCCACCGCCTCTCACTTCCTGGGTGCACAGCAGGAGGTGGGGATGGGGGAAGGGGAGGGGTGTGGTGGTAGGGTGTGGAGAACCAGGTCTCAGGGTCAGACCTGGGGGCGTTAGGACTAGACCTTGTGGCCTGGGGTAAAGAGGAATGGATCCTGGCCCTTTAGGGCCAGATCTTGAGGAGACCCACTCCTCAGGACCTTAGAATATGACCTGGAAGAGGGAATGTGGGGCCTCAGGACAGGAAATGGCCAAGGGTAGGGGCAGTTTTCTCTGACAAGGAGCAAAGAAAGTGGATCTTAAGGTCTCAAAGACAGACAAGTGAGGATGTAGAGCCATCAGGGGAAGCCCTTAGGACCAAATCTGAAGAATGGTAGCTACATGTTAAGCTCTTGGAGGGGAATCCTGAGCCTAGATTCCAGACCTGAGGGTTGAGGGGAAAGGAAGTGGGGAGATCAGGTCTAAGAACTTCCAGCAACTAGTCCTGTTCGGCTATCAAGAGCTCTCCAGGTCAGACCAGAGATCCACTGGACAGGGAATGGCATTCAGACTGAGAATGGTGGCTTAAGGAGAGGGGCAGGAGCACACTAGAAGAGGCTGAGCTAAGAGTTTGATGCCTGTGTCCTCTTGGGGTCTGAGGGGGGAGGGGGGAA